GTAAGTCAGACGGCTCAAACTCAGGTTGTCAGGCTTGGCCAGAGGTGCTCTTACCCACTGAGCCACCTCTCTGGTGCTCAGCGCCCGTATTTCTAAGCACAGCTGATGTTTTTTAAACTATGTCGGAGGAGATAGAGAAATCCAAAACTGGCAAGAATAGTTAAAATCATAAACCCTTCCGTAATTGACTTGCTCGCTGTCACACTGTGGGTCCTGACTCTCGGAGGGTTCTCTTTCTAAGTCTGGTTGCTCTGAGGGATGTGCATTGCAGGGATGTGCTCAGTGCCCCGTCCATCCTGTGGGTCACCTACCGACACCTCGTAGGCATATGTGATGTTTTCCAAGCCCTTTTCATCCTAAGTTCAGCATCAAGTGACATCGAGTCGTCCCTGAGCTCTATCTCTCACTGTCTTTGTGACCGATATCCTCATGGCCAATACATCATCCTACCACCTTATGCTTCCCATTTTTTAATTGATTAAATAAATAAATTCTACTTCTGGTGCCCGAATTCTGTTGCTTTTGCCTTGTCTTCTTCTTGCCCTTACAGGATTTTAACTTCGAAAATAAACTCAATCCCCTTCTACATTGTCAAAGGCAATCTGTAGGTTCAATGTCATTTCCTTAAGATCCAATGACGTTTGTCACAGAAGGAGAAAAGTTATAAGATTTCTACAGAAGCACAGAAGACTTGGATTGCAGAAGTGATTCATAGCTGAAAGGACACGCCTTGGAATGTCACAGCAGCAGGTTTCAAGTCATGACAGAGACAGCAGAATTGGCACAAAGCGAGATAGTTTAGAATAATGGAATCCAATAAAAGACTTAGAAGAGTTAAATCCACACTGATAGTCATCCTTTCTTAATTTTTTAAACAGTCTCGAACAGGCACCATCTGTTTGATGGATTTAATGATAATGGCCCCGTGGGCTCATATATTTGAATGCTTGGTCTCCAGTTAGTGAAATTGTTTAGGGAGGATTGGAAGGTGTGGCCTTGTTTGAGGTCAAGCTTTGGGGTTTCAACAACCCATGCTGTTCCTTCCGTTCCTGCCACTCCAGCACCATGCCCACCTCCCCATCACCATGCTCCGTGTTACCATATCATGGTGGCCGTGGACTCACCCTCTGAAACTGGAAGCCCCAAATAAATGCTCTTTCTTCTTGACGTTGTCTTTGTCATGGTGCCTTATTATAGCAATAGACACGTAACCGAGACATTCTTCAGCAAATGGTGCTGGAGAAACTGGACAACCACGCGAGGAAAAAGGAGCTAGACCTATATCTCTTCCGAATGATATCACGGACTGTGTCACAGAATTGATATGCAGATGTCAATTCAGAGTGGATCAGAGCTCACAGTTCTGGGAGGGGAGAACACTTGACGGCGAAGGCACAGGCAAGGATTTCTGGGAAGGACTGCAGTAGCTCAGGAAATGAAGCCTAAATACACATGGAATTCAAACACTTCTGCACAGTGAAGGAGATGACTAGTCAACAGAAGAGACTGCTTTCAGAATGGAGGAAAATCCTTTCCATTCCTACATCATAGAGGGAATTAATATTGAGACTAAAAGAACTAAAAAAGCCAAACAGCAAACAACAACCTGGTCAATAAACGGACTAATGAAACAACAGTTCTTAAAAGGTTAAGTACAGATGGCCAATAACTATATGAAAAAAATGTTCAGCCTTAGTCACTAGGGAAATGCAAATTGGAGCAACGTTACAATTCCATTTCAACCCAATCAGAATGGCTTTCAGTTACCAAACAGACAGTGATAGATGCTGGCAGGGATGTAGGGAGCCTTAAAAACTGCTGGTGGGAATGCGACTTGGTGCGTCCACTGTAGAAATCATCGCGAAGGGTCCACCATAAAGCACAGGCAGAATGAACATAGGACCTGGCTTACCGCTTGTAGGCACAAGCCCAAAAGACTGTAAGGCCACACACCGCACGGGTGCCTACGTCTCCGCGTTTATTGTAGCACTTCACCAGAGCCATATTCTGGAATCAGCCAAGGTTCCCATCAGTGGGCGAGCACATAAAGAGAATGCAGTATGTGTGCACAGTGCAGCTCATTCACCCATAAAGAAGAGTGAAGTTCTGTTTCCTCCAGGGAAGTAGCCTGGACTGAAGAGCATCATCTTTAGTAAAATAAATCACATCAATCCAGCCAGCCACAGGACTTGTAAGCTTATCATTGCAGCGGAGACAGGAGAAGAGTTGGATAGCAAAACCCCATTTGAACTAACCAAAAGATGAAAAACAAAAACAAAAATAAATAACACAAGAAGACAAACATTGCATGGTTTCTCTCATTTGTGGCTCCCTGCAGCTCTTCCGAGGTCCCGTTTGGGAGCGCATATCAAGGCGGCGAGGAAAAGGGAGTGGACTTTGAAAGCAGGGAATGGGAAGGGCGTGAATGTCCTTAGAACACATAACATACTTGAAAGGAACCATCTGTAGGATGTGTAAAACCAATAAAAATAATTTAAAAATTTAAGAACCTCAAATGTTATTTGTAGTTTAGCCTTGGAATGAAGCCAATTCTGTATTTAGCCGCTAGCTTTACTCCAGTATCTCTGTATGAATATTTAAACTACTTCGTTCCTTCTTGTTCTCACAAAATCTCTTGTGTTAAACCAGGCTAAGAGGTCTCTTGCCCCCTCAGCATCTTCCTTGAGACCCGGATCACATGCTCCCCTGAAAAAGAAAGCAGGAGCTCGAACCTTTTGGAGTTAATTTGTGAATTATGACTTACAGTAGTACCAACACTCTGGGAACCTCATACATACAACCTTGTCAAACTATTAAGACTTCCATTCCTTTACTTTTTGGTGATATTTCAAGTCTTTTTGACATTAAGGTAATCTTTTTGGGGTTTTATTTGTTGTTATTGTTTTATTTTCATTTGGTTTGCTGTGTGAAGAGACGCGATGACCGTGGTAACTCTGATAAAGGAAACATTTATTTGGGGTGGCTCGCTTACAGTTTCAGAGGTTCAGTCCATTATCCTCATGGTGGGGAGTGCACTGGAGCTGAGAGTCCTACATCTTGCAGGCCACAGGAAGTCGACTGAGACACTGGGTGGTATCCTGACCATAGGAAACCTCATAGCCTGCACACAGGGACATGCTTCCTCCAACCAAGCCACACCTCCTCATAGTGCCACTCCCTGTGAGGTTATGGGGGCCAATTACATTCAAACTACCACATTTGCTTTTTAGGGGTTTTGTTTTGTTGTTATTGATTTGGTTTGGTTTGGTTTTTGGAGACAGGGTTTCTCTGTAACAGCCCTGGCTATTCTGGAACTAGCTCTTGTAGAGCAGGCTGGCCTTGAACTCACAGAGATCTACCTGCCTCTGCCTCCTGAGTGCTGGGATTAAAGGCGTGTGCCAACACCGCCTGACTTCTTTATGGCTTTCATTTGTTTTGTTTTGTTTTGTTTTGTTTGGGAGGCATTTGTATTTTCTGGTTTAGTTTTTAAGTTTCTGGGACAGAGTCTCACTAAATAATCCCAGGATAGCCCATTCTCTTTTACAGCCTAGGCTAATTTCAATTTATAGCCTAGGCAGTCCCTACCTCAATCTCCAAGTGATAGGATTATAGATGTGTGCCATCAAACCGAACATAAATAATCATAATTAGTGTTGTATTTGGTCATTCTCTTATCTTGTGTTGATGTTTGGATTGTATTTCTGAGTCAAGGTTGCTTTCATAATCCATGAGATTTTTTTTTAAATGTAAAAGTAGAACATCAGTGCAAGATATATGTGCTTATGAACAATATAGTGGCATGCATGCTTCCTCGCTCCCATCACCACTATGGCCAATTTCGGGGTACCTCTAAAGCCTGAGCTGAGGAGGGGAACACACAACAGGTTCCTGAGCTCAGCACTGAGTGTGCACAAAGGTTACCGCACCCCAGTTGAATAATCACGAGACTGAAATACGTGGGTCCCTGCAGTAGACCTCCTAAGCCAGTTTACCTCTCCCTGACCTAACAGTGCACGAGCAGTAATCAAAACAACCATCCTGCTGGTCCCCCAACTTAGCGCTGTAGACACCCTGACATGTGGGTGGGTGTCAATCAGCACAAACCTTGCCATTCTAGAAGGGTGGCCGTTTCTCCAAATTCTGTTTGCAAAATGGCTGTGATTAATCTGGACGCTAGGCCAGTAAATTAGTAAGTGGAAGGAGCCCCAGTTTGGTGCAGCCAGGCTAGTCGATCAGCTGTGTTTGGAAAGAACTGAGGCTGTCACATCGTCCCTGTTCCTCATGGGTAACTCCGCAGTAGGAAGGAGAAAGCCTAGTAAGGCACTAAGGCCCCTTGGGTTCCATTAGTAACCTGGCAGATCTTTTTTTAGGAAGTTTTCTCTTGGGAAGGTTGAACTTTGTATAGTCTGTTCTCTCAAATGACTTCTGAACAGATAAGAAACCAGCGTTTGTAATGCGTTTGAATTACTTAGGGTTATCTTCAAGCATATATGGTAATATCAAAGAAGTGACGTGAGAGGGGTTATCTACAGCCGGTGTGTGTGCGCCCAGGCAGCTGCTTAATGGGTAAAACGGAGGAGCTGGAATCTAGCTGACGTGGTAAGCTCAGTCCGTGTCCTGAGCGGTGCTTGTGGTTCGTGACGTAGAACCACAGTGACAGAAGTCAGATTGCCTCTTCCCTCAGGGATGCTTGAACCAAGTCAAATAAACAGAGAGCAGACATGTTTGAAACGTGTGGAAATGAGGCATGATCCAGGCTGGAGCGACAGTTCTAATAGGAACGAGATCGCATGATGAAACCTGGCTGCAGACATAGTGTAAAATAGTGCCTGGATGTTGTACAAGTCAGCGTAGCTGATCGTGGGGGACGTTTCTGTGGTGATCACACACACATATCACATCTTCTAATTTACGATTTTAAGTGCAAAGCGTGGCACTGAGTGATTTCACATTTGCTATCCGTTCCCACACTGTTCTCATTTTCCAAATTGAAATTATAGATCCGGTCCTGGAAGCATCAGTTCTGTATCCTCTCCCCCAGATCCTGGTAACCTGGTAATCCTGTTGTCTGTGGGACGCTCACTCTGGGTCTCAGGTAGGAATGCAGTCTGGCAGTATTTGCCATTGTGTATCTGGCTTGTTTCATGTGGTATGTTGCCTTCAGGGCTCATCCATTGTGATGGCGATTTTTTTATTATTATTTTTTTTCTCATTTTATATACCAATCCTAATTCTCCCTCCTTCCTCTCCTCCTGCCCCTACCTCCCCCATCCTATCCCCCAACCTCTCCTTAGAGGGGGCAAGGCTTCTCTAGGGGCTTCAACAAAGACTGGCATGTCAAGTTGAGGCAGGGCCAGGCCCCTCCCCACTGCATCATGTCTGAACAGGGTATTCCACCATAAGGAATGGGCTCCAAAAAGTCAGACCCAGGATAAGTCCTGGTCCCACTGCCAGAGGCCCTACAAACAGATCAAGTCACACAACTGTCACCCACATTCGGAGGGTCTAAAATCCGTGAGCTCCTACTTGCTCAGGCCAGCTGTCTCTGGGGTTTTCCCCATCATGGCCGTGACCCTCCTGCTCATACTATCCCGCCTCTCTTTCTTCAACTGAACACCAGTTCAATCCAGTGCTTAGTTGTGGATCACTGCATCTGCTTCCATCAGTTACTGCATGTAGGTTCCATGATGGCAATTAGGGTGGTCACTCATCTGATTATAGGGGCAGGCCAGGTCAGGCCCCCTCTCCACTATTGCTAGGAGTCTTAGCTGGGGTCATCCTGTGGATTCCTGGGAGTTTCCCTAGCCCCAGGTTTCTCCCTAGCCCCATCATGGCTCCCTCTATCGAGATACCTCTTTCATTGCTCTCCCTCTCTGTCCCTCCCCCGATTCGGTGACGGCTATTCTCGGTTCTCAGCTGGACTATATCAGAATGAATTACAATCCAGATATGGAGAGCACACCCGTGAGAGATTTTCTGCTTAGTCTGAGGTGGGTTAGTACACTTCTAGTCCAGACCTTTGATCTGGATCTTGAGTCAAGGAGATCTATGCCTTCAATTCGAATCATGAGGTGGGAAGACACACCTTTCATATGGTCCCCGTCTTCTGACTGAAGTCTATGTAAGGACACAGGAGAAGGAAGCTTTTGCTCTTTGCCTCCTTGCCCCTCCTCCTGCCACCACATCCACTCCTTCGCTGGCATTGGAGCTCACTTCCTCAGGAGTCCATCATATTCTGAAGACCAGCCGAGACGCCCAGCCTTGTGGGACTGAGCAGCCTCTGGCTTCTCAGACTTTCCACTCACAGTTAGCCACTGTTGGATGAGCTGGACCTCAGCCTGTAAGTCCTTCCAATATAGCCCGTTTTTATTGCAGGGATGGCAATTTATTCCGTAAGTTCTATAACTGTAGCAAACCCTGACGAATACCCCCACGTCATCATGCTTGTTAGAGTTTCCTTTTTCTTCAAGTCTAAGTAATATTCTGTTCTACGAATTGAATACTCCAAGCTAATCTATTCCTTTGTTGGTGGGTGCTGAGGTTGTTTCTGCGTTTGGGGATTGTATGCCGTGGACATGAGTGTATGTATGGTATGATCTACAGTCTTCAGGTCTTCAGGGCATATCCAGATGGAATTAATCACACGGTAACCTTGTTTACAGACATTTAAGGAATAGCTGGAACATTGATTTCTGCAGCAGCTTTGCCATTTTTTATTTCCGCCAGCAGTGTACAAGGGTCACTTTAGGGATATTTTTAACTTTAGTCAACCCAGGAGCTCCAAGTGGAGAATGGTTGTTTTGAAAGAAAATTCCTCCCCAAAATAGGGCGCCTTCAAGGCCACTGGCTGCCTGAGTAGGAATTTGCACAAAATAGATGAGAATTTGTAAATGCTAAGGCCACAGAGCAGAGCTGAAAGCTTTCGCATCCCGACCTTGTTGGTTAGCGTCATCAGGAACTGTGTTTCTCAGGTTTGTTCTTCCTGTTGTAGTGCACACGGTGACGTTACGCAGTCTTCCATTTTAACATGCCAGAGAGGTCAAAACCCCAAAGATGAATGAAAAGTAACAGACCAGTCTTTAAACGTTAATACTAGCAAAACGACCAGGGGAGGGTAACAGAGCGGCCCAAGTCAGCAGGGCCCATGGTCCACGTGCCAATCAAAGTCATTGTCCTGTGACCTCACATTAAGCTTTACACAGCCTGTTTCTGGGGTCTTCTCAGCCCACACAGATAACAGTCCTTTCAGAAGAGTAAGTTCCTGTGGAGACGCTAATAGCAAACAGATGGAAGCCAAGCTGAGGATTGCAGCCATTGACTTCCCAGGCCCCGTTCTCCTCATTTATATAAAGCGGAGTGTCCCTGTGAACGGGAAGGGAGTGTTGAGCATGCTCACCTCACACTCGGTCAGAGCCTGCTACTCTGTCACTGCCTTACCCTCACGTGACAGAGAAGGCTAATGGAACGAGGGGGGGTGGTCTCTTAGGATTCTGACCTCAAATTGTTTTATTATTATTATTACTCAAGCATGGGATCAGAGTGTGTTTATCTCTCTCTCTCTCAGGTTTTTTGAGACATGATTTCTCTTGTGTACCCCTGGCTGTCGTGGAATTCTGTAGACTAGGCTGGCCTCAAACTCTGAGATCTACCTGCCTCTGGCATCCAGTGCTGGGATTAAGGACGTGGCATACACCACCATACCCAGCCTATTTTATTATTTTTGAGACAAGGTGTTACTGCGTTAATTCTGGCTGGTCAGGAACTCACTGTGTAAAGTAGGCTGGCCTCGAACTCACAGACATCTGTCTGCTATTGCCTCCCAAGTGCTGGAGGTAAAGGCATGTGCCACCCACCCTGCCTATTTTCCTGTTTTGTCTTGAGATTGACCTTGTAGCCCAGGCTAACCTCAAACCTGCAAACCTCCTGCGTGCTGGGATTATTGTCATGCTTGGCCTCAGGTAGAACTTTTATTCGTGTGATTTTCAACTCATTGAGAAATGTTTAAAAGGTGATGTACGCTTTGTTAATTGTAAAATTAAATGATGTCCAGAGAAAGATCACTTCGGGGAAGAGTAATAGAGGTGGTTCAAGATCAAAAGTTATTCTGTCTCCAGTAGTCCCATATTCCCGTCCTTGTACTAGCCAGACCTGACCCTGCTTAGCTTCCCAGATCAGCGGAGACGGCTCAGGGTGGTTTGGTCATAGACGCCTTGATGTCTTTCTGACTGTTGTTGAAATTGCCACAAATTCCATCTCAAGTAGAAAAATAAAATTAAGTTGAAAAGAAAATGTAGTGATTAAATTTAGGGGCGTATGCCCTGATTAGTAAAGCGTTAGTTCCAATTACAGTGTTCAGATAAACACAGCACATTATCATATCACAGAGATTTATTATTGGGAGACAGTAGGTTTAAGATGATGTTCAGAGACTTCTGCATGAACATCTACAAAGGATTAGTTAGAACATGAACTTGAAAAACAGGAAAATTTACAGTGGGTAGAACTAGAAACAGTCAACAGCTGTTGGTGGCGCATTCTAAATCCCAGCATGCAGAGACTTGGGCAGGAAGATCTAGAGTTTCAGGCTAGCCTGGACTACAAACTGAGACCCTATCTCAAAACTCAAAACCAAGCTGGGCAAGTGGTGGTGCATGTCTTTAATTCCAGCACTTGGGAGGCAGAGGCAGGCACATCTCTGTTGAGTTCGAGGCCAGCCTGGCTTACAGAGTTAGTTCTAGGACAGGCTCCAAAGCTACAGAGAAACCCTGTCTTGAAAAACCAAAAACAAACAAAAAAACCTCAAAACCAAAACATGACAACAAAGACAAGAGGCCATGCGAAATAAAGAAAGGGAAAGGCCAGCTTACCCTTGGTGGCCCACACCTTTAGTCCAACACTCAAGAATCAGGCAGATTTCTAAATTCGAGGCCAACCTAGTCTAAAATGTGAGTTCCAGGACCACCAAGGCTACACAGAGAAACTCTGTCTCAAAAAACCAAAATAAGAAAAAAGAAAGAGAGGGAAAGCCATATTATGTGAACTTGTTCTAGAGGAAAGCCGTAAGTCAGATGTAATAAGGAACTTTTTCCTTATTGGGTCAAATCTGTTTTTTTTTTTTTAAAAAAATCGAGATTTCCTGTAACTTGTGCAGTGATTTCCCTACAAAAAGTTAAAGTAGTTAAAGTTATGTGAATATATAATGTGATTAAAGTTATAAGAATATATATTCATGTTTCCTTTTGTGAGTTTCAAGGCCAGAAGGCGTGGCTATTACTTGGCAGTTGTTCCTTATGCCGTCCTAAGTCTGCTCATGAACGCCACGTGCCATTCTAGTTTAGTTTCGGTTGCTGTGATCAAACACAGACCCAAAGCAACTTGGGGAAGGAGTACTTTACTTCATTTTAGAAGTTACAGTCCATGGTTGAGGCAGGTCAGGGTCAGTGTTCAAGCAGGAACCTGGAGACAGAAGCTGGAACAGACCCTGTGGAGGAATGCTGCTTACTGGCTTGCATTTCTTGGTCTGCTCTATTTACAACCCAAGACCATCTTCCAGGCGGCACCGCTCACAGTGGGCTAGGCCCTCCCACATCAATCGTTAATCAATGATTAAAATGCTCATGAGTCAGTCCGGCAGAGGCAATCGTCAATTGAAGTTCTCTCTTCCCAGGAGGCTCTAGTTTGAGTTTGTACACACGCACGCACACACGTGTCTTTATCCACAATGTGAATGTGTTTCAAGTTTTCTCTTGCACTGATCCTTTATGGCCACGTCCAGTCAGAAATAGTGAGGCAGGGAGTGTGTGTTCACCTTCCTGTCCACCATTATCACCTTCTTCCTGGCCTTCTGTTTCACAGAAACGGAATAAAACTCAAATACATGTTAACGTGTTTGATTTTATATTTATTCATGCAGCATATATGTCTTTATTTTAAATTATTTAGGGAATTAAATATCCTATTTAACATACAATTGTTGTCTTTGGGGCTTTTAGTCCTGATTTTTGTCAAATATACAAATTTGTAAAAACCAACCATAGGACAACTTTAAAATCTTGAAATGGATTCTGCAATTCTAAAGAAATATCATTTTCAAATGGGAATAGCTTTATCATGAGTGATTATAAAGTTCATCTATATCCACTATAAAAGAGAATCTAATCCCATTGTAAAGAGAATAATTTTTTATTAATTGCATGGAGAGGATTGCTTCAGTCTGTCTCAGTGTGTCTGTCTTTTCCATGCCTCGTGATTTCCTTAGTCAAAACTGAATTAGAATTGTTCACATCTAACCCTCCTGGAAAGGGCAAAGCCCTCAAACTGCAGTGGCAACCGATCGGCCATTTATGTCCACCTCCTGTGGGAATCGCCCCAGTTGCTTCCAGTCTATTTTGGTATCATTTTTATCTTATTGATTTGCAAGAACTTATAGATATTAAAAACACTAAACTTTTTTCAAACTTATGTTTTTCCAAGTGTTTTGGAGGTGGGGGCTCAAGTATCATTATTAATAAGTTGTTCCCTACTCCGTCATGCATGTTTGTCTAAAACTTCTTTCCTGATGATTTTATGGATTTTGTTTTAACTTTAAGAGTTTAAGCCAGGTGATGGTGCACACCTTTAATCCCAGCGCTCCGGAGGCAGAGGCAGGCGGATCTCTGTGAGTTCGAGGCCAGCCTGGTCTACAAGAGCTAGTTCCAGGACAGGCACCAAAGCTACAAGAAACCTTGTCTCCAAAACAAAACAAAATCCAGATTCTTCCTTTACTCTTCTTTTCCCTACTTTATTCTTTCCCCATGCCCCATATTTGAAAGCTGTGGGCTGAGACTGCACCCCAGAAATAGAGCAGCTGCCCCCGTGTGTATGAAGCCCTAGATCCCATTCCCAGCACCTGCTCCTCCATAGCAAAAACAGATGTGAAGACTGCACACTGCATGCGGCTGAAGCGTGCTATAACACGTTTCTCACCTTCCTTATGAGCACTTGTTTGAGTCGTGCTCCGTGACAGTACAGCCGTGAACACACCTGTGTCTGTGTACAGTGATGGGGTTCACAGCCTCAGCCAGTCAGGTGTCTCGCCTGCACCCAGAGATGAACTCATTAGGTTACCGCCTTCTGGCCCCACTGTCATCGTTCAAAGAGGAATACGGAAGCATGAGGAATTACCTCATGCCGATGCTGAGGAAGTTAGCCGGATATTTTGGAAAATGCAAGGTGATTGATAATAACTGCATCTGCAAATCTATATATGTGTTCAAGAGAAATTGCCCCTGGGGTCCTGTATAAATTTATGGCATTCCTCCCCGCAAACAGTGCTTCTCTGTGTCCTAGCTGTCCTGGAACTTGCTTTGTAAACCTGGCTGGCCTTAGACTCACAGAAGTCTGTCTGCCTCTGCCTCCCAAGAGCTGGGATTAAAGGCAAAATTTATGATATTTTATGTCCGTATGCTTTCTCTTGTTTTGGAGAGATTTTGCTTTTGTTTTGAAACTGAGTCTTATTGCAGCCTAGGATACCCTAGAACTCATTGTATACTTCAGGCTGGTCTCAAATTCATAGCCATCCTCCTGCCTCTTGTATATGGGGTACAGGTATGAGCCACCATGCCCTGCTTTGAATTGTGTCTTTTAGAAGTCTCCCTGCCCCCACCCCAGCAATACTGGGGATTGAACCTAGGGCCCCATGCATGCTAGACAAGCATTCTACCCCTGAGCTATAGTCTCAGTCCTTAAATTAAATCTTCTACCCAGAAAATATTTCCTAATTCCCAACAGTGCATGCTGAGTTTCTCTGTGTGTGTCTGTGCGTAGGTGAGCATGTGCCCGTGGAGGCCAGAGGTTGATGTTGAGATGTCTTCCTCAGTCACTTCTTTGTCTTAGAGTCTCACATTGAACCTGAAGCTCTCAGTAACATTTGAGATGGGGCTACTAAGTCCCCAGGAAAACCCTGTCTCTCCCTCAGCACTAGGGAAAAGGCATACCTGCCTTTTATACCCTTTTAGATCCTGTTGCCTGCATGGCAGATGTTTGAGTCGCAGAGCAAGCTCCCCAGCCCTAATTGAGTATTTCAGATAGCAAATTAGGCCGCAGACTGCCTAGCACTTTAAGGACGCTGTTACTCAGGCAACAACAAACATCAGTGTCTTGATGTCAGTGGGAAGAGTTTTACTCTTTGTTTTGTTTTGTTTTGGTTTTTCGAAACAGGGTTTCTGTGTTCAACCCTGGCTGTCCTGGCTAAACAGATTTCCTCTTACTTTGTTGTTAGGTGTGTATGTGGGCTTGTTTTGCTTATGCATCTCTACAGAAATACCACCAACATAGAAAGACACGGCCTGATATTTTCTAGGAGCTTTTAGTATTGGGAATGGGTTCTAAATGGATGAGTCTACCAAGATTATTCTAGAATATTTTATTTTGACTTATTAACCTTAGTTCTTATAAATTGTGACAATAATTTCCCAAATAATTGACACAAATTGTGACAAATGATTCTTTGCCTTCTATTGCTTGGCGTGTCCATTTATTTTATCTCTTTATAGTTCTCTCTCTCTGTTCATGGCTTGGCCCGCACACCTGTTTTGTTAATTCAAAGAAATAGCTCTTAGATTTGTTAATTGAGCTAATTTAGAATATTCAGTTATGCGTTTATTCTCCAAATATCTCTTCTAATTTTGTAAGCTACTATATGCAGGCTGTTTGCCTGTTTGTTTTCATGTGTAGTAATGTAAATGATCCAGGCTGTGCATGGTTGAGTGCTGTGGGTTTTGATTTTATTCTGTTTACAAATGTTCTTTAATACCGTGTAATTTTTCCTCACCCCACAATACACTTAGAGAAGTGGGCTTTCCAAACCCTTTCTTGATCTTACTTTCACATTAATTTTGAACTCATTGAATTGCTTCACACCGTGCAAACTAAATTCACTGATTTCATTGGGGTCTTATTTTGAGTTATTTTCTGCTTTATTTTCCTGCTGAAATGCGATCAGGTTCTTATGTTTGGAAGTATTTCAGATATCACTCCTTTTACTCTTAGCGCAGGATCATTTCTCTCTGTAGGTCAGGATGTGAGAGTTGGCCAAGAAGAGGCTAAATATAATGGGCCAGGCAGTAATTTAATTAATGCAATTTCTGTGTGGTTATTTCGGGGGTTAAGCTAGCCAGGCGGCAGGACGCAGCCCGCTTCTCCTTACAACCACAAGGTCCCTCCCTCCTCATGGTTTTGTGAGCAGTGACGTTTGTGGGAGAGGAGCTGGTCCTGCCAGCTGAGCTGCCCACAAGCCATATGGGGAGCTGAAGGGGTCTGCTGGCTTTCATGAACCATCTCCCATACTGGGATGGGTTTTTGTTTGTTTGTTTTTTTAGTGATGCAGTTGCTTCGGGTTGTCCGTGCTCCTGTATGTAACCTGTCACCCATACTCCTGTATGGAACCCCAATAAACTCAGTGGTTCACTGCATTGAACTTCTATCTGCAATTGGTTCACTATCTGAGATTAGTTGTACCAGCCTCCCAGAGAAAGCCACACAACACCTTTTTGTTTAAAAACATGAGATCCCAAATGCATCGATAACAACAATAACCTCAAAATTGGATCTTGGGATGCCTTTAGTTCTTTACCCATTATTTTCTTTGGTTTTGACAGCTTTTAAATGTATTCATAAAACAGTAAGACTGACCATGGTTTCATTATGTACAAGTTACCTTGAAAATGTCGAGTTAAAATAAGATATTAGCATTGATACTAATGAACATGGTGCAGTAGATGTTCTGGGGTGGGGAGGAGAGAAGGAGGAAAAAGAGTTGGGAACAGGGGAGGGAGGGGGAAGGAGGGAGGTTGTATATCAGACTAACAGAGGGCCTGAGACTTGGATGGGATTTACGTCTGAGTTGATAGTGGTTTAATAGGTCTGCCGCTTTAGCCCCATCCCACAGGAGCGCTTGAACACATCACAAAGCCGCCACACTTTTGGCTCAAGTGTCAACATCTACTTGTAAAACATCTTGGACCAGAAAACAAAGTCCTTTGAATCAAGGATCTAAATAGCGTTCTCATTTTTCTGCTTCCAGGCACCAGGACTTGGCTTCAGAATCTTGATTCACAGTTAGTAGATTGCCTTTGTTGAGCAGATTGGATGATCATCCGCAGGTGTTGACTTTTTTACTGCCTTTTGCCAGTCCGAGCTGAGGCCTTTGCTGTCCAATAAAAGGGCCTCTGGCTCTTTGAATTTATGGCTTAGGAAGGCGAGTTTTGCTTTAAGGTCTACTCTTCTAGTTTGGACGATAAATGTCTTATTTTTATTTCCTGAGATTTTTAAATTTTTTTTATGTGTGTGGGTGTTTTCCCTAGATGTATGTTTGTATATCATGAACCTGGTGCCCTTGAAGGTCAGAAGACAGAGCTGGATCCCCGAAAACAGAGGTTATAGCATATAAGTCACCATGTGGGTGCTGGGAATTGTACCTGGGTCCTCTGGGAGAACAGCTCTTTACCTACCGAGTCATTGCTCCAGCTCAGCTAAGCAGTTTTTATTCTAACAGAATAGCAGGGGATTTAAAATCCTGAGACAGAATTACAAGCTTCAGTCACTTAGAGCATCCAGGTTTACAAGGTCATGAGAGTTCTCTTAACTGTTGAAATTGTTCTTTTTAAATGAATAATTACTTAATTATGTGGGGTGATCAGATTGAGCATCAAATTGACCATCCTTGAAAGACCAAGGGACTGCTGTTTCAATTCTTGTCTGTATCTAGGTGATCACTAAAATCCTAATCATAAATCCTACCACATTCAAATTCACATAATCTGTTAGCATAATGTTAGAAATTCTAAAAATATAACTATAGACTTATATGAAATTTCCTTAATACATATAGAAATTTCAGAATTCATATATGAATCATTTCGTACATTTTTATCATTATTGTAATTTGTGCCTTCAGCTTCAATGTCTCTGAGCTCCAGACCTGCACTTCTAAGTGTGTTTTCTTCCCTTTGTCAATGCAAATTAAATTTACCCTAAAAATAATGGTTTGTATTTCTTTTTAAATGACGTGAGCCTTTCTGTTTTGTTTTTAGGTGGTTTGGACACCCCAGTAGTAACCTGTGCTTTCCTGGTCCAATCTGATCCGTGCGAGATGGACTAAAGCCACAGTTTGTCTGGTTCTTCGTCTGGGAGTCGGAAGGAGGATTGGGATGGTCTCACGTGCACACCCCTAGACTAACTGCAGTGATGAGTTCAGACGAGAAGGGCATATCCCCTGCTCATAAAACATCCACTCCGACCCATAGAAGTGCCTCAACGTCCTCTCAGAGGGAAAGCAGGCAGGTAGGAGAACCGGCATATTTTTATCACTTTCTGCAAACAGAACCCTGTTTGTGTGTGGCTAGCACGCGATTGCTAACTGAATCTGAAAGTTTGTTGTGAAGTCCTTTAGATCACAGGTCACCCCCTTATTTTATGTTGTCATACCTGACAGGATGAAGCTGTTACAGTGGCTTCTCTGCTTTTTTATTCTTTATTTTCCTTTGGGGGTGGGGCACTGAGAATGCAGACCCCAGCGTGAAACAGGGTTCCTCCCGGAAGCCTGGTGTTCTTCTCACCGTGGACACCTGGTTTTGGAGCCAGTATCAGGACGGTCACATTCAGATCCCTCTTCTTTGGGGAGGTGAATCCTCAGGAGACTTTCTGTAAGACCAACCGTGCTTGCCAAGCCCTAACCCCTGCCAGGCTCCTTGGGATCCGGCCACTGACAATCTCAAGAGTTAGGAGGCAAATAAAATTGTGGTATCCGGGAGCCGCAAGCATCAAGGACTGAACAGTTTTGAAGGACAGCAGAGGAAGTAAAGTGTCAGAGCTTGTTTATGCTAGAATACACCCATTGTCCCATTGGACCCAGTCTGTGAAGCTATCTTTGTTTGCAGTTGCTGCATCCGTGTTTGAGGGACTGCTCTGCTGCCGTGGTTATGTGGGGATTCATCATATAAATGCTGGCCATAGACACAACAGCGGTGTTTCAGCCAGCGCAGACAGGAATAACGATTATCTGTTATATGTGCCTTATGATAGTAATTTGGTTATATAAATGGAAATTTACAAGAGCGTCGCCAACTTTTTCATGCTGATTTTCCTTTGTGTGGGTTTTACTTAGTGAAGAGTCTTGCAGGGCCCTCAAATCTCTGCTCTACTCGCATTTTAAGTGATCACAATATATTGCCTAATTTAAAGGAATGCGTGTATCAAATATTTTTCTTTCATTTTTATTTGTTTGTTTGTTTTGCTTTTTGACACAGAACCTCACTTGTCTGGCTGGCCTGCAGCTTCCTATGTAGCCCAAGCCGGTCTCAGACTCTCAGCAATTCTCCTGTGCCAGCCTCCAAGTGCTGCAGTTATAGGTGTTAGCCACGGTGCCAGGCTCCGCATCAGTTATTAATAATTCATTGTACGTGTATTCTTAAATGAACAACTCAGATATGGATCCACAGCAGTGGGCATGCATTTCTGTGGGTGCTTTTGAGAGAACCCCAGCCTCCATCCATCCCTCCTAACATACCCTTGCCACTTACAGCAAGAAATTCCAGGGCAGTCTATGCAAACTGATGATTTTTTTCTGGGTATATTTTTCACAGATCCTAACACAGATATTCCTACTACAGGGTCTTGCGGACACTTTTAATGCTTGTGCCTTTTGTTACAGTGTTCAAAAGGATACCCATACGCTGTCTTAGAAGTTCTTCTGCCGTTAACTAATAACTAAGTCTGTGATTACCTGGTGTTGTAATACTGGGTGCAATGCATTTGTAAATTCTCAGAGGCTCAGCGTGCTGTGAGTGAAAACACTTGGTGTTGAATAGCTGCTGCACACTGAGGTGCCCCCCCAAGCTGGCCAGTCTACCCTTCCCCTGCTCCTCTGTTCTTTCCCTTTATGGCCTCTCCATTTTTCCGCCTTGCTCTGAGCATTTCGTCGCATGCCCTTCCTGGTTGCTAAGGAACAGGGAAGCATGGGCCCAGCTCACCCTGGAGACCCGTGGTAAGTAAAAAATGCCTGCTGGTGACGGCTATGGAAACAGCTGTCCTGCCCTGTTGATCTGCCTGCTGCTACACCTGGGCTCTCGACCCCACGTGCAAATGACAGGGACACTGGAGACCCTGGCCTGCCCCCCCACCCCCTGGGAGCCTGAAGTCAGAATGGGTGACTCCTGACTGGCTTGTGAGAGGCAAGTCTGCCGACATGAGAGGGCGTGTAATTGATCATGAAGACTTTGTTTGTTTGTTTTTTTGTTTTGGACAGAGTCTCACCATGTAGCACATGCCTTTAATTCATCTCAGCATTCTGGGGGCTAAGGCAGGCAGATCTCTATGAGTTTAAGACCATCCTGGTCTTCATTGTGAGCTCCGGGCTAGCCAAGGCTGTATGGCTAGTATTTTTTAAGGAGACAATTTACTTTTTGTCCCTGTGTATCTCAGCGAGTGGAAACACGTCCCAAGACTTTGTCCTTTGCTTCCTTCGCGACTTCTCTTTTGTGTCTGTTCATCTCCATCAAAGAGGAGAATAATAGTAAGGAATAATGATCATTCATTTCCCCCCTCACCTCTCCATCATTACCTAAAACACAGAATAAATGTGGAGAACTTGGAAGTCTGGCATATGCTGCGATGTGCTATAGTACTTTTATATGCATCTCTATAGTACACGGGCGCCAGGAAAGTGCGATGGATTAGTCTTCATTCTGTCTCCTCTCCCTCCTGATTTGACAGACGTCTGTGCAGAAGTGATGTTACACAGTTCAACGCTTCCTTCTCCTCATCACGTAGGTGAAGGATATCGCACAGAGCAGAGACATGGCAGTGTTTTAATGCCTCGTATTTGTTTGTCCTTCACAGGTTCTAGGTGCACAGTGCCAATGAGCACTAAACGTGGCTGCTTAGATGTCCCCCTTTCTGACTGTGACATACAGCAGTATGTGTAAGCCAGTCTGTTGTCAGAGAACCATTCTCAGTGACACGGGCTCTGTTCTCCGTCTTTCTCCTTGATTGCACCTAAAGTCCCTAGATTAACTCCTTAGATCCTACCCTTCCTTAAGAACATCATTTCCTTTTGTTCCCACCATCAGCTTCCCAGCCCAGACTCTCGTCACCTTTTCCCAGGTCCTTCCGAGGACCCCTGCCTCACTAGCGCCTTCAGAACCCTGTCATTTCATATTCCCTGAATGTGGCAAAGTCATGAAGTCATTCAAAGGCTTCCTGTTCCCTCCACAAGTAAAGCCAGATTCCCTTATGGACTGGGTGCCCAGTGGAGACATAGTCTAGTTCAACCCCATTTCACAGCATGTGCACTGTGTGTTATGATTCCGAAATCTTCCCCGTCTGTATCTCTGCTTCCTCTTCCCGGAGTGAAGTCCTATCCCAACCTCCACCTTCTAGTGCTTCCTTGCAACCGAGGATGGCTCAGGGAGACTCTCACTGACCTTTCAAAACCGCTTTCGCCTTTCCTTCCCTGACCTTGTCATAGAGCTTTTGGATAACGTTTGGCATTTTTATATTGTTTACTTTTGCTCTATGAGTTGATGTCCCACACTGTGTTGTAAACTTTTCTAAACAGAGGGTATCTTTAAAGGCTCACAGTGATATTAGTCTTGTCTTTTTATTACAAATTCCCCATGCCAGATTTAGTTGCCCTCCCCTTTCTTCCTCATGGATAAATAAACAAAACATCTGTGCATGCCAACTCTTGACTGTCCTTCCTGTGGCTAAGCTGTGTAGCACAGCAGATGGAAGACAGAAGACGGGGCATGATGCGATGCAGTGCCTGGGCTTTCACTAAGTGGTTCTTCGTCCACTGAGGGGGGTCAAGGGTCCACTTAGTCCTTAATAAGCTCAAAGGCTTCAGGACGTTCTCCCACAAGCAGTCCTCCTGGACTCTGGTATAAGATGTTAGAACACCTAACATAGTTGCCTGTGTGTGTGTGTGTGATCTCACAACGTCCCTACATGAACACCCATGAAACTTCCAGAGAGGTAACAAACGGAGTCGATCAGACATCAAAGGCTTTCCTAAAACAACATGCCCCAAATAAAGCTTGTCCCTTGAAATATATGGAAATAAAACTTTTCTTATTAAGTAAATTGAGAGTCATGCTGAACAACATTTCTTTGGTGCTATGTATCAATGAATTAAGATGATTGTTAAGTTATGAAGTAAAACCTGTAGTTAATCAAACACTTCCTGAATTTAGTAGATTCTAAAGCTTTTTTTTCCTAATATTTGGCTAATAAAAATATCCAGATTTTTCTTGAACTTATAAACTGGAAGATATAGGGACACTGTGCTCAGATCCTAAGTGACAACACTGATTCTCTCAGTGGTGGCTCTAGTTTAGACAGGGGCATTTTCTATCTGATCACACAGTCCTTGTCTGTCAGTTATTCCAATATTTATTTATATAGACTGCCTGGCTCCTGAAAGATCAGAATTTGTGAACTTTGATCCCGGATGTCAATAGGCCTGTTGCAGTAATATTTAACTTACCCGGGAAGATCCACTTCAAGGCTAATCCGAATTTATCATTTTCCTCTCAAAGCTGCCTGTTGTAAGGAGTGGGCCCGGCTAACTTGCACCTGAAATAACCACACAGAAACTGTATTAATGAAAACACTGCTTGGCCATTGGCTCTAACTTCTTATTGGCTAACTCTTACATATTAGTCTAGCCCATCTCCATTAATCTGTGTGGCAGTGGCTTACCGGAGATTCTAACTGGTGTCCATCTCAGTCACAGGATCCATGGCTTCTCCCACTCTGCCCTTCTTCCCAGCATTCAGTTCTATTTTCTCCGCCTACCTAAGTTCTGCCCTATCAGGCCCAAAGCAGTTTCTTTCTTCATTACCCAATGAAAGCAACCCACAAACAGAAGGACCTCCTACACCAGCTGCCTATTTCCAATTTTCCCTCTCAGTAAAAGACAATTCTCATTTCAATGGATTCCTAGATTCCTGGAAATGTCCTCAGCTTCCCATTGTCTCACACTCTGCTTCAGACCAACAGAGACCCCTGTCAATTTTCCTTTACCTGGATCCTGATCACTGCCTTCTGTTTCTTCCCCTTCTATTCTGGCCCAAGCCAGCGTGGTTTCTCATCTGGAATGTTGCCATGGTTTTCCACTTGGTTTTCCCGTTTCTACCCCCACCCATCACACAGGGCATTCTTTACAGGATAACCGGAGTGTTCCCTTCAAATTTCAAAGGTAGATTGAACTCTTCCCACCAACCCCCGCAGGACATCCATATGACATTGAGTTGCTGAGCATTGACTATGGGTCTACTTATTAT